TTTAGCTGCTATCCCTCCTCTTGCTTTCTTAGCTTAACCTTTTACTTCACATAAACTGGCCTGGCAGGGACTGCTGGGCAGGAAAATGTGGACAGTAATTGTTTGGACAGGGTGCAATGCGGTCTTTGTTGTAGGATTTGTAACATCTCAAGCAGACCTATCAATTCCCGATCCGACAATACGCAAAAGAAGGAACATTCACGGAATTATCCTACCTTTCCTGTCCCAAATGAACTTGAACTTGCTACTTGGGACATCACGAGTGGTGAAGTACATCTATCTGGCTACGCACTACTTAGGTGCGCTTACTCCACCGGCCGGAGGGAAAGTGGCGTCGCCCTTTATGTCTGCTGCAAACCTGACCTTTTGAAGACGCTTATTTCAGTAGGCAGACCAAACTGTTGAGGCTCTGTCGGCTGTTATTACACATCCTGGGCTCAGGTTACAGTTGTAATTGTGTATAGAAGCACTAGGAGCGTGTCCAAAGAGGTACTTGACTTTTCGTTCCCCGTCCGCAAACAAGTGTTTGGTGATAGGCGACTTCAACCTCCCGGATGTTTGCTGGGCTGAAGTTCCTTGCGACAGTGTCAGGCGCATCCGACACTGGTCTACTTGAGCTTACGCTGCAAGTGTCTTTGAAGCAGTTCATTGACCTCCCCATCAGGTACATGGACGCCTAAGTGCCTTCTACCTTAGACCGTGTATTTGCTAAGTCACTCGAGCTTGTTAGTGAAATTACTTACGGACCTTCACTGGGTTCCAATGATCATGTTTGTTTGCTCTTAATTTGTACTCTGGCTAGACGCTACCATAGTACTCTTGAGTCTCGCCCGAACATATGGCAAGAAGACTTCCAATCAATGAGAGCCAAGACTTCGGGTTTATATTGTGAGATCGCAGGCGATCATACTGTCGAGGTTGCCCGGCATAAATTTAAGTCCTACCTCCCAGCGGTCTCTGCTCCCTTTCTCTCAGTCACAAGCAGAAAGGAAGCACGAGCACAGCCGCCCAGGCTTGATCCCACTGGCAGGCATCTGCTCACAAAGAGGTCTAGATGTTGGTGGGCTTACCGAGATGCTCCGTCCATCGATACTTATGACAGGTACCGTAATGCTAGAAACAAGTTTAAGCAACACCTAAGGAATGCTCGGCTCAATTTCGAGAAAGGGTTAGCAGACGGAACTTCAGAGAATCCAAAAAGCTTCTTCGAACATGTCAATTCCAGTATTGATGTGTGATGACGGCACTCATGCGCATACGGACTATGACAAGGCCTGCGTACTTAGTGGGCAATATGCAACAGCGTTTGTAAGGGAAACCTCTTTGACAGGCCTTGAGCTGGTTTGCAGGATCCCAGAGGGATCAGAACTATCTGAATTGATTGTAGCGGAAACAGAAGTTCCTGGGCTGTCACAAGGACTGAACCCTACTAAAGCCACTGGGTCTGCTTTAATTCACCCGAAACTGTTGCCTGCGTTGGCTGAGAACTAAGTGGACCGCACGCTATGGTATTTCAGGAAGCGCTTGACAGCCGTGCATTACCTTCCGATTGGCAAGAACCAATCATATATAAATAAATATAGGTATATTTCTAGACAAGCGCTAGATGCTGTTCCTGCGTGGGATCAGATCAAATTGTACATAACATCCATGCTCATGCATGGAGAAGAAATATCGTTAACAAATGCTTTTAATCGTATTTATCTTTCCAAAGAGTAAAGCAGGGATAAATACAAACGTTTCGTAGGCCTCGACTTTTTTGAAGTTTGGGTCCCCGTAGCTTATGTACGAATTCTGCGCTTTTCACCGGCTACCGCTGCCAAACCTTGAGGTGCCTGATTCCATTAGTAAACGATCAATCTATTATGCCAATGAATTGTGTTATTTTCGATGGAAAATGCACCACGAGAGGAAATTTGATCAATTTTCTTTGGTCACATCACCGCATTTCGAGCATCCATCTCCAAGAATGGAGACAGGAACCTGCCTGAAAATTACAGGCCAGTCAGTCTGACGAGTGTAGTAGGCAAACTCCTCAAAAAACTGGTGAGAGGTTTATTGTAGAGTCACCTGAGTAGGTTTAATCTACTTAGCAATATACAACACGGATTACAGAAGGAATGTTCGTGTCTGCCGAATCTACTGGTGGCTCGCGGAAGTTGGGCTGATGCAGTAGAAAATGGCCACGGGCTAGGCGTACTTTTCCTAGGCTTTTCTAAGGCATTTGACAAGGTACCCCATAGGAGGCTCGCGCGAATGCTGACCTCCTACGGAGTGGCTGGCGGCGCCCTTCATTGGTTGACTGCCTTCTTGGATGGTTGAGAGCAGTGTGTACGGATAGGCCGTGACCTATCGTTTAGGTAGTCTGTCCTCAGTGGCGTACCGCAGAGCTCGGCCTTTGGACTGCTGATGTTTTTATCTATGTGAATGGCCTACTCGCGGAACTTGTGGTACCATCGCAACTATTTGCTTATGAGCTGAAGCGGTGGAATGTTGTCGATATTCCTGGGGGTTCCGAAGCAATTCAGCGAGCATTAGGTAAGCTTTGGGACTGGTCTACTTTTTGGCTTATGCAAATACATCAGACAAAGTGCACCGTACTTTAAATTGAAAGAGGTTGTCCACTTGCGAAGTACGTGCTCGTGGGGTAAGGCTCCCCGTATAGCTAGCCAGGTTGATCCAGGCGTCCTACTCTTCGGTGTTACACTCCGGTGGTAACTAGAAGAAGGCCGCAAGTGGAGGTTTCCGCATCTCATGGATAATACGACGTTCTTTCGGCGTCTTGACGGGCGGCATATATACGAGACTCTCCTCGGCGTTCGTTCGGCCTCATCTGGAATACTGTGTCCAGGCTTGTCCGCCCTGCCTCGTCCGGGACAAAATGGAGCTAGAGAGGGTTTTACGAGTGGGTACCAGGTTAGTTAAGCGATAACGGGGACGGACGTACCTCGACCGTCTTCTCAGTTTGGGAATGCATTCAATGCACTACCGAAGGCTTAAAGGAGACTTAATCCTATCCTACCGTATCTCAACTGGGAAGGTGGTCCAGATTTATCTTGGCTGTTCAGTCCAGCTAGATTGTCTGTTCTACACGGTTATTCCTTGAGGTTAGACAAACCGGGTCCGTTCGGATTAGAGCGTAAAGCCGTCTGCCCCGTCGTGTCATCGAGCGCTGGAACATGCTTCCGGAAAGTGTTAGCATGGAACCTACGGTTAAGGGGATTGAACGGTAACTTGACGCTCTTGAGTGGCGACACGAAACATTTCCCTTTTCCTGAATAACTCGCATCTTCATACCTCGATTTGCATTTCGCTACGTTTCACGCATTGGGATTATGTTCTTATTTCAAGTGCACTTCCTTATTCTGTACCTTCGATTTCGCTTCCTATCTTTGCTTACTTCCCGTGACTGCCATAGCAAGGTCTGCTATTGCAGGAATCTTGGGCATTAACTGGTTGGCCATGGTGCAATAAGGGTGTTCCATTTTAGATCCATCAATAACTCTGAGCACTTCATAAATTCCTGGCTCAATGATCCACTCAAGATGGAACACCCACAGAATTCTCCTGTCCTTCCGGTCCAACCTGAACTGGAACTTGAACTTAAGGCCAGTTTGAGCCACTGGAATGCACATCCCACGTGTAAAGGAGGAGAAACCGCATATTTCTTAACCAGAGGACTAATTTTGCTCGAAAATGGCGGAATCAACTGAGAATAATAAGCGAGCAGCCCGACTACTCGCTTTTGGGACTTCAGGTCATTGGAAAGCACGAGTTGACGTAGAGGCTTCTTCCGTTCAGGGTCGGGCCTTGTTTCTCCCTTTTATATGTGGTAACCGTGGAGGTAGATTTTCTTGAAGGCAGCCTCCGTCGCAACGATACGACCTTAACGTGATGCGACGGTTCGCGTACCTCCTTGGCCCATTGAGCTATACTTGGGGTGCCTCCGGGCCAGATTGATCAATGATTACTGGTCAGACAAACTCAGTCTCCTGGTCCTCCACTTTGGGGGTTTAAAGTGAGATGGCGTCCATTTTTGTGCAACTAAATCATTGTCACCTCCCCACTGCCTTGCGGACAAGCTTTTGAGCCGAAGGCTTCGGTTGAGGACGCTAATCGTCCTCTTCTCTAGTTCTGGGCGCCCTGGCAGTATTCTAGTCTACATACAACGGTGACTTTTTCTTCCAACTTAAACTTCATCCTGCATCGGCCGTCGCGCAGATTATCAAGGGTCGCCTTATCTGCTGCATACAGCAGGGCAGATAAGCGAAAACATGCTGATGCTGGCGCCTCCTTTCTTTCCTTTCCCCTGTTTCTCTTACTCCCATCCCGACTCCCATTATTTACTTCCCTTCTATAATTCCCAGGCTAATTGACAGCAACCGAAGTGCCACTAAAGTAGAACTATCTGCAGCCACCTTCCCACAACACTCATCGAGCGCCTATCAGCAATAGTCGCTTATAAGGCCACGCTGTCCCGTTTCCCTGGCGGCGTTTAACGTTCGCACTCTAAGACAAATAGGTCAGCAGGCTGCACTCGCAAGCACCTTTGACACACTGGGTATTGACGCGTTGTGTGTCCGAAACTACGATCAATGACTTTAATGGGGTTGTTAAATTAACTGCACCCGACTTTGTCCTCTCACTATTTTTTATACGCATCCGGAGACGCCGATGCACCACTCACGAGTCAAGCTAGTGTATCATTCTTAGCTCCAAGGCTGAGCCGTCGTTGGTTGGTTGGATTCCGGTGCATTGCCGTTTGTGTGCAGCTCGTTTGACGACATCGACCAAGGTTGATTCACAAAGTAGTATCAAACGCTGATTGTCTGTGATTTCCGCTTACGCTCCAACGGACCGCAGTTAAATGCTGTCAAGGACATGTGCTTCCACGAACTTAGCGCTACTACGCAGTACTACTAGTTCAGATATTATAGTAGTTGCAGGGGATATGAACACATAAGTAAGACATCTGGGATCATCAGAAGCTCAGCTGAGTGGTTATTATGTGCGCAACTTCGAACAGACTGACAATGGCCTGTGTCTGTTGCACCTGTGTGCGGAGCACCAGTTGTTTCTTAGTAGCACTGCTTTTTGCCACAGTGGGCGCCGAAGTGCCGCTTGACGTCCTCCTGTAGCTGGCCAGCGATGGATCCAAATTGACCACATTGCCATAACTTACAGGTGTCGTGATTCCATCCTGGATTTCTGCTCGTACTGGAATACCGGCGTCATATCTAATCATGCCTTAATATGCTGTCGTTTCTCCATGAACCTTACCGGGAGGCACACCAAGCGTCCCCTCCGATTGGCAATTGCGAAATTGTCTCAACCCTTGGTCAGGCAGCGTATCAAGACGCACTGCTCACCGAACTTTCGCGGTCTTATTCCAATGACCTTGAGTTTCAGTGGAACAGAATCTCTGCTGTCATTCACTACGCAGGAGCATCTGCTTGTGGCACTATCAATCGTCACCGCACCAGTTATTGGGTATCCGAAAGATCGGTGAACTTGTTGGAATCCAGAAGAAACCTCCCGACTGGCTATGAGCACAACGTGACCAGACGGACTATTAGGCGCGAAATTAAGAGGAGCCTGCGTGCTGACAAGGAAGCCTGGTGGACCAGTCTGGCTCAACAAATGGAGGAGGTAGGAGCAGTAAGTAATTACCGCAAGCTCTTCCGGCTGATCCGCACCACTAGTCCCAGGAAATCAGGCGTCAGTGAGCCAAGCAGAGACAGCGCAGGTGCACTGATACACAATGATGGGCGCCGTATGGTTCCTTGGGCGGAACACTTTTAAGATCAGTTTAGCTGGCCCATTGCTCCCGTACCTCTTTTTACTCAGGTGATGCAGGACGAGCCATGGACGGCTAGTTTAGTGCGTCCTTCGGAGGCCGAGGTCCGAAAGGCGAACATAGCCTTGAATCGTTTTCTTACCGCTATCCCGGATTCCCTCCCACCTGCACTATTTAAGGATGGAGGTGAGGTCCTCTGTAAAACACTGACCTCCCTGTTCGAACGTATCTAGAAGAGTGTCCCGGCTAAGTGGAGTGAATTCATTATAGTGGCAATGTACAAGAAGAGCAGTCGCGCAGACTGTTCTAACCACAAGGGTATTTTCCCAACGCCAGTTATGAAACATTACTTGCCTCGATTCTCGCTCGTCGTTTCACTGGAATAGGAACTTCGGAGTAGGGAAGAGCAGGCCGTTTTCCGCCCCAGACATGGCTATATAGACCATATTTTCACCCTGCGGCAAGTGCTGGAACAGCGCCACGCATTCCGCATGCCGACGACAGCTTTGCTCCTTGATTTCAAGAGTGCGTTAGATTCAGTCGATCGATCGATTCTGTTAGAAATAATTGCGCGGAACGATGTTCCCACGAAATACGTGAGCATCCTACGTGCTCTATACTCGAACACTACAGACCGCGTCAGGGTCTACGATGACCAGTCGGATAGCTTTGTGACCACCAGCAGTGTTCGTCATGGTTATCCGATTTTCCCCGTTTTTGTTCAATTTCGTCGTGGACTCTATCGTGGAGTGTTCCCTTGAGAAATCTCACGATGTAGGCGTTGAGGTCCTGCCCGATGAAAGGTTAGTTGATCCTGATTATGTGGACCTTATCGTCTTGCTTTTCCACCATGTTGCGACGGCACAATCAACCCTAAATAGCCTGTCTAGACTGGTCCCTTTATTTGGTGTACTTCTCGCACCTTCAAATTGCAAAGCGTTGTTGCAGGACCACCAGCCACTTGATGACCCATTGACCCTTGATAACGAGGAACTCGAGGTGGTTGTTCGATTCACTTACCTCGTCAGCTGCATCAGCAACGATGGGCGCATAGAAACTGAAGTCAGTTCACGCATTGTAAAAGCCAGAACTGCCTTCTTTAATCGGCGGCATCTTTGGCGACAGAAGGGAGTTTCCCTCCGTCTGAAAGGTCGTGTATACAAGGCCACAATGAGGGCCGTCCTGCACTACGGAAGTGAGACCTTCGGTCTGAAGACCTGAGGCGCCTTCAAGTCTTTGATCATCGTCGTCTGTGGAGCACTGCTGGTGTCAGGTGGCACTAGCGTTTACGCAACGATGATGTGTGTAGGCGAATACTACGTAGTGATAACCATACTAGTTCCTTAGAACAACAGATAACACTGAATAAGTTGCGTTGCCTCGGGCACATGCTGCGTATTTCTGTTCGCCGTTTACGGAGAAGTGCCTTGGTTAGGCTGCCAGATGTAGGGTGGTGCAAGTCTCGAGGTGGAAAGAAGTAGACTTGGCAGCGGGAAATAAAGTTGCTGATGACCACGCTGGGTGCCGTCGGTCCGTCGCACCTTCCGTGCTGAAATCCACGTGACTTGCCTTGTGTTTAGCTTGAGACTTTACAAGACATGGCTTGCAGTCGACACCAGTGGCGCATATGGTGCCGTCTCCTAGTCGGACTGCCTGTTTACTGCGGGTTTGGTGGCGAGTTATCTATTGTTTGTGACGGTACTATGCTGACAAGGTGTAGGCGCCTTGCCCCTGAATGTTTGCATGGGACATAAAGGTTTTCAGGTAAGTCTTCTTGTTTTCCATCTTATTCTTTATTTCTTAGCTCACGATGGTTGTATGGCAGCGAAGGATAAGTTCAAATGGCTGACGTACTGCAGTTGTGTACTGCTGTGTAACGGTTTCAGTACCAATTGTCAATTTAGGCCATAGTATCCTTAAAGCTTTCCGTTTCGTTTCTCGGCGATCGTGTACTGACAACTGGCCACACCATTGGTAACTCTAAAGAGAAAACAACAAAATTGAATTGATTTCCCAAGCTTCAAAATAAGTGTAAGGCTTTTCATGTCCGACGATAGGGATCTGATGGTAAGCGTTTATCATGCCTGGCGTGTTATATACGGCATGTTAGGTTGGTCCTGCCAACCTGGATAAGTTCTATTAATTTGCAGACGGTGTTTACGGTACTTGTGGTTATATTCGTTAGTTTTATTGCGTTTGTAGCATTTATAAAGTAAGTATTATATATGTTGTACATATCGCGGATTTATTGATGAACAACATACATCATATGCTTATTTAGCAGTGATCTATGTCTAGCTATGCTTTAACAGATGTATTTTATTTGCTAATATCATTTCTAGTGATAAGATGTTGTTTGACATCTCCAGTGGGGCTGCGTTTATGTGCATATCGACAAGGTGCCTACCTGTCTATTACCCACTACCTCGTTCATACTGACTAAAGGAGACAGTTGGTCGTTGCTGAAGGGGACGGGGCGCACGGTCTTTGTGGCCGTGCCAGGCTCCATGTGTTGTTCCTTGTACTCAGTATGGAGAGATGCAGGTTCCAGCCACCGTCTTGTGTGCGCCTGATTCCCCAACTACAGCGTGCCGGTGTTTGCCATACATAGTTGTATTGTTGGCGGCATCCGGTTTCGGATTAGCCTTTCACTATGGCAAGCCAGAGAACGCTTGCGCCAACAGAGGGACCATGGGTGGCTTGAGCTGCACCACACACAGCTCCATCCACACACCCCATATCCAGTGTAAACCCGAAGGAATATGACCGGGAGGCATGCGGATGGGAGCCACGTTTCATCAACGGAGCCGGCCCACACTCCTTCACAGGCAAACACAAGCACGATATATTTGGGGAATCAAGCGCACACAAGGCGGTGGCTTGACCGTAGTCCGCTCCACACTGAGTGCACGGAACCACTCTTCGAACCTAACACGGCCACAATGACAGTGCACCCCGTCCCCTACAGCGACGACCAACTGTCTCCTGGAGCCAGTATGAACGAGGTACGGGGTAATAGACAGGTAGGCACATTGTCCACATGCACATCAAGCGCAGCTACACCGGGGATATCAAACAACAGCCAATCATTTAAGAGAGAGAGAAGAAAATAATTCGATTGATGCATACAGAAACGGTGGCATACACCTTAAGGTAATGAGCATATGTAATATGTTGTTTACGAACGAATCCTAGATAAGTTCGTGGGGTCAGAAAGTATAGTTTACGGAATACCTCGAACACAAAATGCTATGGAAATCGACTACAATTGGCTTAAGCGAAGTGTGCATGTTAGTGGAATAGAGTACAGACTGACGTGTATATGAGAAAGAAAAGCATTTAGACAAAATAGAAAACCCACCACCTGAAATAAAGAGACTTAGCATGCAAGCACGCGATTAGTAATTCGAATGCAGCGTGCCTACAAACGCTGCGCCGGTGCTGTCTACCTTCTCTACAGGACCCGTCGTCGCTTCTTTAGTGGTCCCGAGTGGCCTGGCTAGTGGCTCACTAGGAAAGGATGACATATATCTTAAAGTAATGAGCATCTAAGTAAGTAATCTCTTCTGACCTTGACCTTGACCACGCGGTTAGAAACTGTGCGTTTTCGACTTTTTGTTGCTTGTTCCGCCATATAGCAGCTATTTATTGGAGTAATTAGACGCGTTGTCTCGATATCTAGACTTGCTACACTCTACGCTTTTTAGATCCTATATACGGCATAACACTGTTCCTGGAACACGAATCATGAAGCCGTGCTATTCCATAATGAATTACAAAAATGAAATAAAAGGTAAAGCCGCCCGAGCCAAACTCCGGGGCAAAAGTAGACGTACTCATTCGAATACCGCAGTTTCTGTTGATCACAGCTCTGCCTCATGCGCTGCATAGGCGGATAAGGCGACCAAACGTCCTGCTACAAAAGACAAACTGAATAAACTGCGCCCCTGCGGTGTCCTTTTTATAGAAACTTTGAAAGATGCACTTAACAAAGTCAGTGCACACTCAACTGAAATGGTTGCTCTCAAAATGGAAATGGCTGTTACCAAAACAGAGCTAGCAAAACTTATGCCATTGGCCCAACTCGCAGGAATAAGGACAAATGGCAACGCTGACGAGCTCAAAGCTGCTGCACCCATCTTACTACCATCACTACTGAGATAAACGAGCGCACCCGCCGTGCCCGAAACGTGATCGTCTTCAACGTTCCTGACAAACTTCCCTTGGAGAAAGTCACCCGCCTACTTACGTCCATGTGTAACATCCCTCCTGACATGTGCGTGAGCAAGCGGCTCAGAAAATCGAAGATCAGTCACAATTGCCCTATCCTTATCGCATTCAAAACTCCAGAACTGGCTACAAGCTTCATATCAAATCGATTCACCTTAAGAACAAACACAAACATTGGGCCTATTCTTATAAAGCCTGATCTAACGCCGTTGCAAAGAGCTTTCCCACCGGCTACTAATACCGAAGCAAGACAACAGCCTCATGATTCATTGCCGGTTGTCAGAGCTACTGCTTGCTCTACTACAAGCACTAACGTGGATTTGGATCTAACCCCCCTGCGTCACGCGTCTACGACAGCATTACATCCCGACTCAAGCCCCACAGCCCTAATAAACAAAAAGTCAACTAACGTTCCAGATTCGTCCCCGCTTACGATACAAGAAACTGAGTTTATTACCTCCAACAACGCATATGCTCACTGCAACTAACCCCTCCACAGTTGGCTTTAGCCCTCCGGATAGGTTCTAAACTCAATAATATTACTGCAGCCTCATTAGAGGCCGAACACCATCAGCTACCTCCTCAACCACTTCCTGATCACAATCCTATATCACACTCTCCACCATTTCTTACCACTTCCATGTACCCTACGCCCGTTACACCCTAGTGTGCAACTTACCTCACACAATCGAACTCTTCCATCTCTCCTTGCGTTGAATCTTACAGTATGCTGCTTATTAATGCGCGATCTATTACACACAAGATGCACCTCATTGGCTCAGTTATCCTGCTCTCATACGCACGGCTGATTCTCATCACAGAAACGTGGCACCCTCAAATGCCTCTGACAGCCTACTACGTATCCCTGGCTAAACTGCATTATGTAACGGACGAGACAACCAGCGCGGTGGCGGTTGTTCTATCTATGTTCGGGACGATTTTGGTGCACCTGCTTTCGAACTGCTAGCAATAGGTGACCCTGAAGACTCTATCTGGATCCAGACGACAGGAGGTCAACTTGACCTCCTTATCGGTTGCGTATACGACCCTCCACACACATCTAACAAAAAGATTAATAAACTCACTAAGCTCTTCACTGAAATCTCTCAAATGCCCTCAAGGCACAAGATAGTGGGTGGCGATTTCAATAGGCCATTTATCCCCTGGAACGACCAGGTTGCC